GGGGATGATCGCACCACGTTGTGTTAAAATGGTCAAGCACCCTCGAGGCAGTTACACAGTGCATACAAGTGTCTCAGGAAGTGAAGCACCAGAAAACAAATGAAGTCATACGCAGCTGTCATCCGTACGCAAGGAAGTAAGCACAAGATGCCGAAAACCCTTAGCAGGATGCAGCGCACCTTTCATGCGACTCGCCGAATACCTCACGGCGCTTCGCGCTTGGTGATGTGAGAGCCTGGTCCGATGAGAACCCGGCGTGCTCCGTCCCGGCTTTGTAGGGATGCGAGGTCAATGGTCTAACGACTACGGCATGCACGACTATGAGTACACCCCCCATCATCGGATTCTGTCGTCTGCCCCTCTGGCCCCTATCCTCCACTTCTACTAGCTAGACGACCCAACCGGGGTCACATAGGAGGGGGGGGGTTGGACCCGCTCCTGCGGTATGTCCCTCCCTGTTTCCATGTCCGACTCCGTCACTGCCGACGCCCCGAGGTTTTACCGTTTCCAGCCTCACCAAGTCCTTTCTTCCGCTGTTTCTATACCCTTCCGTACAGTACCATATATATCGTACCATACCTTACAGTGTCATGCCGTAACGTGGCATTGGCATGCCATACCGTTCCATACCGTACGAGAGACCAGATGCTGCAGTAGTTGTACCACACAATCTCTTTCCGTCCGGTCATCACAGCGCCATGGCGTCCGTGTCGGACACACGCAGAATTATGGAACCCAACCTGGCCAAGCTCATGCTGTACTGTACCGTACCATGCCAAAGCATCCCGCCACATGTCGTCCCGTGCCGCACACACCCGCAGCATGATGCGGTCCAACCTTGTCCAGCGTTTGGCGGGCCCGTCCATGAGTCCCATCCCATACCATGCCATACTATACCGCACCTTACCATATCATGTCATACGACACCATCCACGTCACTGCCCCCATGTCGCCCGGATAAACACACGCAGCATGATGCGGTCCAACCTTGTCCAGCGGGCCCGTCCATAAATCCCATCCCATGCCATGCCATACTTTACCATACAATACCGTACCATGTCATACGGTACCATCCCCGTCACTGCCCCATGTCGCCCGGATAAACACGCGCAGCATGATGCGGTCCAACCTTGTAAAGCTCATGGCTGGCCCTTCCCCTGAGAGCGAGGCGGCCGGCGACGTCAAGAACGGCGGCGACAACGCCGGCGACGAGAAGAGGAGGAGGCTCATCGTCGACCTCGAGCCCCCTAGGTTCGGCCGCTTCACAGGACTGTTGGACGTGCCCGGGACGCTGTTGGGGTGGGCGGGTGGCTGCTACGGTGGTGGTAACGCGGAAAGCAACAGCAGCAGCAACAAGAGCAATGGTGGCAGCAACAACGACAACAGCAGGAACAGGAGCAGGAGCAGCAACAACAGCAACAGCAACAGCAGCAGCAGCGACCAACAGCGAGCGTCATCGTCGTCCACAGGTATCCTGAAGTATTTCGTGCCATGTGGGCTTGACAGTTGCTGCCTGCTGGTGGCGCACCCCCGATACTAAGGTTTCAGAGGGAACAATGCCACAAACTTCGGCGAAAAAAGAACAACATGTCACCGTCATGGTAGGCGTTATGAGAACAACAAAGTACATCATTG